GGTATATGTCACATATTTGCCCTCCATTGGCTGGGGACTGTTATCTGCAGTTTGGTGGTTCAAATCTCACCGGCTCAAGGTTAACTCAGCCTTCCATTCTTCCGAGGTGAGTAAAATGAGGTTCCGGACTGTGGGGGCGATATGCTGACTCTGTAAACCGCTTAGAGAGGGCTGAAAGCCCTATGAAGCGGTATATAAGTCTAACTGCTATTGCTATTTTATTTTGCTTTTTTTTTTCTTTTCTTAACATTTCTAACACACACACACATACACACACAAACAATTTGGGCAATTTTAAAATATGCAATGTACAACTCCCAGAGTTTTCCAACCAGTATCATATTGCTAAGAATTCTGGGACTTGAAGTCCACACAAGTTGGCCAGGTTGCAAAACACCAAATGCAACAGGTTAATATGAAGACTGGTTGCAGGAATTGGGTATGTCTAGTTTAATGAAAAGAAGGACTAGGAGGAATAAGATAGCAATGGTCCAATATCTAAGGGCTCCCACAAAGGTAAGGGGGTTAACCTATTTACCAAAGCATCTGAAGGCAGAACAAAGAGCAATGGATGGAAACTAATCAAGGAGAGATGTGACCTAAACGTAAGGAGAAATTTCCTGACAATGATAATAATTAATCAGTGGAACAACTTGTCTCCAGAAGTTATGGTTGCTTTATTACTGGAGGTTTTCAAAAAGAGATTGGACAACCATTTGTCTGAAATTGTATAGGAGGGAGTTGGGCTAGAAGATCTCCAAGGTCCCTTCCAACTCTGTTATTCTTTTATTGTGGTTTTCCAACTATATTCATCTTAATAATGTATCAGTTTTGTTTTTATTCTCCATTTCTTTAGGCCTTTATTTTCCCATACAATTTTCCAACCTGCTTTTAGACTATAAATAGTCTAGTGTAGGTTATCAAACCTAAACATTGATTTGCATGTAAAATATCTGCTTTAGAAATCCTTAAAAATAAAATGTAGTGAAGTGCTACCACTAAAAACATGTCTCCTTTTATTATCTGTATGCTATCAACTCAGCATTATTGTGTTTTTTCCTTCCTGTGCTTCAAGATGTAACAAATCTTTATATAGATTTCAAACAAAGGTGATCAAGGAAGAAATATTTTTAAATGTATGCAGCAGAAAGAATCTTTGGGCTGATAATTACAATTTTGTATCAAAGCAACAAAGGATTATATGGCAAATGTTTTACCAGATATGAAAAATATTTACTCTTGAGTTGAGGTCTGACCTGATGTTTGTCAGCTTAATTTCCATTTCTTAAAGCCAAAATGATGCCCTGGGATAAGTAGCGTTCACACATAATATCCTTTTTTAGAAAGTCATTGTATTTTGAAATTGCAGAAAGTACAGCTTTCCAAAAATATTGCTTGAAATCTTTATTAGGATCATTGTTTAGCAAAGTTGCAACCAAAGAGGTCCATATTTTTAATTGTTGCTATTACATTTAAGTTCCACTCTTGGGACGAATTATTTGGGAAGCACGAATCCCAACTTATTTTAAAGACTGTTTTCATTATTATTTATGACTATAATATCTGGATTGCATTAATAGATTGTGGCCTATGTAGTTGCAATGACCGTCTTTTCTACTGCTAATCCTTTAATGAAAACAACAATAAAGAGGTCAACTCTTAAAAGTAGAGTTTATTTCTTGCCCATCTTCAACCAAGAGAGCCCTTAGCAATTTGTGCAGTAAATCTAAAGAGAATTCACTGAATGGCTAGGAATTTTATGGAGGAATAAGAAAGGGAACATGAGTGGAGCAACACTGTAAAAACTATGAAAAGAACAATGCATTGTCTTACTATTGACTGCTGAACATTTGGGGGCAATTGTGCTACCATTGGCGAATATGTTGGCATTACATATCATAGTTGATATGATAGTTGTCCACTGAAAGTTTTGCATCTTGGAGCGAAGGGAAAGGACGCGACAAGAGGGTAAGCAACAGCAACCTTTATTCAGCTCATAGTAACTACGATTCAACGTGGCGNGGGGGCGATATGCCGACTCTGTAAACCGCTTAGAGAGGGCTGAAAGCCCTATGAAGCGGTATATAAGTCTAACTGCTATTGCTATTGCTATTTTGTAGAACAACCCCATGAGGTAGGATGGGCTAAGAGAGTAAGTGGCCCAACATTCATCTGGTTTTCATACCTAAGGCACGACTAGAACTTACAGGACAAATGGGCAATAGTGCCCTCCTCACTTACTTAGCCAAACCTGTATTAGGTAGAATGAGCCAATCTGAAAGTATTTCCTTCCTCAGAATTAAACTGTAGTTCATTTCCTGGTTATCTGCTACTTATTTCATCCTGCCTTTTTTTTTAAAAAAGCATTCTACTTTTGTCCAGAACTCTATATCTGGGGCACTGTACTGCCTCTCAAATCCTGACATGGGGTTTCACTGCAGGGACACAAAATATTTTGAATACAAACAGTTTGAGCTCAAGATGGGTTATCTTCACTTTGGTGGATGCTTTCCAAGTGGGATCCTGTGGTTTGAACACCAGGTTTTGGACACTGGTTTTTATATTTCCAGTTTTGATATTTCCTCATTTCAAAAGGGAAATCATAGCTCTGTTTTGCAATTTTCCTCTGAATTTGAGCAATACAGGTTCTTAAGTCTGCAAAAAAAAATGTTCAAGGGTGATAAGCAGGGAAAATGGTTGCTGTTTTCTTAGAACATCCATTCTAAAAATAGCGATAGCACTTAAGACTTATATCCCGCTTCACAGTGCTTTACACCCTTCTCTAAGTGGTTTACAGAGTCAACTTATTGCCCCTGACAATCTGGGTCCTCATTTTTACCCACCTCAGAAGGGTGGAATGCTGAGTGAATCTTGAACCAGTAAGAGTCAAACTGCTGAACTGTTGGCAATTGGCAGTCAGCAGAATTAGGCTACAATATTGCATTCTGATTACTGCGCAACCATGGCTTTCTCTTTATAAATTCACACTACCTCTCTTTTAACTTTATAAACTAATAGCTACAGGTAAGAACCTTTCATTTATTATCTTAATACTGACAATTTCCATCAAAGCTTAAATATATATTCTAGTATTGCAAGTGAATATTTTTGAAATTGTCAGCAATTTATCTCATTATAGTTTCCTCTCACTAATTTTTGATAGTTAGACTGGATCTTTTGCTCAATATCGAACTGCCAAGCTCTGGAGACATGATCTCCTGAGGGAAACAAAAAGACAAAGACGTATTAAACTTTAGGTTGGTTTAAGTCACTTGAAACTTGGAAAGTATTAGGAACCATTCCTGCTCTCAAGAAAAGTTCTTTTAAAAAGCCCAAATATTTTGTAGTGCATATCTGTTTGATATTTCTACTTAATACAGTAGCCCCCACAATCATAATTTAGGTATTCTTCTGCTGTGTGCCTCCACCTTTTCAGCAATGTAGATCTATTGTCTATTCAATGTTTGGTCCATCTTCCATTACTGACACACTATGCCTCGTTTTCTACTGAAAAGATCATCATAAGGAAACTAAGAGTGAAAGCAACTGAGAAAACACTTTATTGCACAAAATGGGTTTCAATCCTCTGATTCCTCTACTCTTCAGTGCCCTTATCCCCCCCTCCCTTCACATATCTTTCCAAACAAAAATAACTCAAAGGTACTTCCTTATTCATTTTTACTCTTTGAAGTCTCAATAAATCTTAGATTGACTGAAGATCAGGTTTCTTCTCCCGCCTTCTCAAAAATTCTTATGGCTTCTAACTAAAAACTTTATTTACAGTAACAGCCTACTAGTTCTCAGATGTGAGAACTATTTTTTCATCTTGCCTCAGAAGGCAGATTAAGATCTGGACACAGTTTTTCTTCCACAAATGACCAGAGTCCTGAGCTCCAAGGTGGATTTCCTGCCTCCTCCCCTTCTTGCTACTCCCTAGTTTGATACACTGGCTCACACGGGGCCTTTGATCTAGGCAAGCGAGATCCAGGATGTGGAGTAACGCTGGACTCCAAGCTATCCTCAGTCTCCAGGCTACTAACCTGAACATCACTCAGAATTCACATCCCACCAGAGGGAGAAACCCTCAACGCACAAATATTGGTTTGTGCACTCGCTTGTGGCGGATAAGGGTAGTGCTCTTGGTGAAACATTCCCCACATTCCACACAGATGAAGGGCTCTGACGGGGTGGCCCCGTGATGGGCAACGCGATGGCGTTCTACTTCTGAAGGAGCCCGGAAGCGTTGTCCACATTCTGGACATGGGTGGCCAATTGGGGAGTCCGTGTCATGACGCAAACGCTGGTGCTTGATCAGGCCAGCACTGTGTGCAAAGCCTCGGCCACATTCAGGGCATCGGAACGGTCGGGCCCCCGTATGTGTTCGGCGGTGCTTGGCCAGGTTCTTGCTTTGCGTGAAACTGCGACCACAGTCCGCACAGGTGTAAGGCCGCTCTCCCGTGTGGATACGCTGGTGCTGGATCAGGTTGGAACTCCAGCTGAAGCTCTTGCCACAGTCACGGCAGACGTAAGGCTTCTCGCCAGTGTGGGTGCGCCGGTGCTGCACAAGGTGCGAGTTCTGCGAGAAGCTCTTCCCGCAGTCAGTGCAAGTGCTGGGACGCTCACCAGTGTGTGTGCGCTGATGCCGTAACAGTTTTGACCAATGGCTGAAACTCTTGCCACACTCGTTGCAAATAAAGGGGCGCTGCTTGCTGGATCGGGAGACAACACTGGTTGCTACAGCAATATCGCCCTCACCATAGTTGCCGGAGACTAACAGATTCCCCTGCCGTTCTAAAGGAGAGGCTTCCTGTTGTGAACTTATCCTCCAGGTGGGCAGTCTGTTCTGTATTGTGGACTGGATGGCCTCATGCTTCAAGTCATCTTCACTCTTGCGCACCATGTCTCTGTCAGCTTTTGGGAGGGAGAAGGATTTTGTTCAGTAAGAGACCTGGGTTTTACAAAAAAAAGAACTCCCTGCCTCTTCTGCACAGGGGTTAGGAGTGGGGAATCTCTGGTCCTTCAGATACTACTGCATAATCACTTCCATCTAATCTACCCACGGTCCACACTGCCTGGAGTTGACTGAAACGGCAACAAGACCTGGACAACTAAAGGATCCCTATATCTGCTATATACACCACTTTAAAAGTATTTTAAAAATCACCTTTAAAAGATCAGGACAAAAACATCATATGGAATTTTGATTCCATTGAATTTAAAGGTAATAAACTTCACAGAAAGGCTAAAATTATTTGGCTGGAATAACAGAAACTAGCAAGACTAATAGAACTGTCCCTCCTTTTCCTCCTCCTCACAGTTCAGTGAATTTAGGGGGCATCTGCTTAAGCTGTTTCTGAAAGTTATTTAGATGTTATGGACTTAAAAAAACACGTTTCAGCCACCCTACTGCCTTGGCAATAGAATTTGAGTATCTTGGATCATGTCTCTTACTCTGTACAATGCCCCAGTTTCTCACCTATGTAGACTCTCCTTATGGTCCCACCGTTATCTGAGCCATGGATCTCTGCACTGCCAGGATCTTCATGCGCCATCTCAAAATGAGGATTTTCAAGTCAGAATGTATCTGAGAAAGAGAGGATGAGAGGGAGGGGGGAGAGAATTAGCCACAATCACTTGCTTCCTCTCCTATTGGGTAAAAGCTAGTCACTATTGATCAAATCCATTATATATATTTTGCCTCATTTCTGGGGTTCAAATCCAGTCTGGCAATGTACTTGTCCAAGCCAAAATACATCCTTGTATTTTGTCCAAGCCAAAACACACCCAATGTACTTGTCCAAGCCAAAATGCCTCCTTGACATACTGTATAAAGAATAGCTATTCTAGCATTTTAAACTTGATCTCCTTGATAACAAAGGAGATTTACACCATAGATGGACTAGTCACCACTTAGCTCCTGAATTATAATTGACTTGTCCCTTTTATGCCATGGCAAATATGGGGACCAATTTAGCTTAATCTTATAGGCACTCCTGTCATTGATTTGAAAATCCAGGACTAATATGATCAAAACAAATGCATGCTCTCATCAGCATCCTGTCATTACCTTGGCACCCCAAGGACTAGGGATATCACAAGTATTAGTTATCACTTCTCCAATTATAAGTATTATTTTTATTGTCATTGTACTTAAATACAAACAAATTGGTTATTTCAATTCAGGGATACTTGATCATATGAAGCCACCAACCTTTCCCCACTACCCAGAGCAATATATTCTGTTCTGTTATTCTGTCTCTTTTTATGATCTAACCCACAGAGGCTGTGGCTTCCAAAATAATTAATTCAGCAAGAATGAGGAGTGTTCTCATTTTAACTCCCATGTATGCATAGTTGAGTTTTTGTTGTAAAACTATCTTAGCTTCTCTACACACAACTGGTTACGTGCAAACACAGCCAGTTTCAAGAGCTTCTTTCAGCATGCTAACAAGCGAGAAAAAAAAATTTATTTCCAAAAGATTGTGATTTCCCCAATGTTTACACGATTAACAATAACAAGACAAACATTGACCTGGTATAGTAAGAAATCTGGTTTCCACCTCTGCAGAAGTGCTTCTAAACCTCAGCTAGGGAATTCTGGGAGTTGAAGTCCACCTGTCTTAAAATTGCTGAGATGGAGAATCACTGCTCCACAGTATCTCTGAACTGAGAAAACATTTATTTCTCGTTTATTTTTTTATCCATGGTAAAAGGCACAGAAGCTGTGCTAAAAAAGGATGAGGTGAGAGACAATGAACAAAATCTGGGTTCTCCCGGAAATCTTTTTATTTTTAAGCTGTCAAAGAACACTCCCATCAAGTTCGCTGTTGCAATAAGCTTTGGTTTGCTTAATTAAAATTGACAACCAAGCCAAAGTTAGCTGGATTTACGCAAGTGTTTATACCATAAAATGTAATTTTGTAATCACAATAGCTGTGTTTGCACAGGACTTAAAAACTAGATTTCATTATAGCTCAGGATTATCCCTTTTCTCTGTCGGTTTCCTATCTTTCAATCTCCATCCCCACTCCCAGACTTCCTTCTCCTGGTACGCTGCTCAAAGATTGCCCTGGAGGCTAAGGATTCATTCTCGCCTTCCTTATTCTAACCTTGCAACCCCTAACTTGGTGGAAGATGGGCTCTGGGGCTGCGCTCCTCAACCGCAACTTTCAAATGACAGCTTTCTCTGTTAACTCGGGGTGGCCATCTTGCGAGCAAAGCCTCATCGTTTGGGGCAGCGAAGCTATAAGCCCGCCGGGTAGTGCAGGGGTTGAAACGGTAGGAGCGTTGCCTAAACCGAGTGTCAAGCGTGGGCTTCATCGTTGGGAAAACCATCACAGTTTTCACCCAGGTCGAGGGGAGAAAAGGAGAGGGGTGGGTGGGTGGAATAAGGAAACTCTTCGTTCCAAGCTTGGCAGCAAGAAACGACCTGATCCCAACAAATAAGGCTGTCTTTTGCTACGAGACCGGGGTCCTGCCTTCGATCGGGCACTTACCGGGGAGCAAAGGAGGAGGTCATTGCAAAATATGCAACCTTGCTCCAAATGTTTTCCTACATTTGGATGCATCCAACCCCTTACTTATCCCACCCGCGCGGATTCCCCCAATCAAAACTCACTTTTGCCCGGGAGGAAGGAACCCCAGTCACGTCCCCGGGGCGCATAAGCACCGCGGGAAGAATCCAAGCCACCGCAAGCGACTCCACTAAAGCCCAACTCTCGGCTCTTGGGGGCTGCTGGAAACAGGAAGGTTCCCCGATTAATTTAACCCCCTATTCCTCCTCCTCCTCTCCGTTGTATTTCCTGGTGATCGCTAGGAGCAGAGAGGAACTAGGAGCTCTATGGTTGAAAGGGTGTGCGTGTGGCTTGCACGCTCTTTAAAAACGGGGGTGTAAACGAGGAGGTGGTCCAGCTCCCGGAGCTCCAGTTAATGATTTTTTTTAGGGAGGAGGTCAAGAAAGGGTTGGGTGACTTTCCGCTCTACTCAGGCTGGATGCACATTGCAAGGCTGCCTGTGTGCATCCAAATTAGATTTGGAAGAGGATTATCTCAAGATTCCCGGATTGCAAATACGTAGCAAGGTTTGGGGGCGTTGGTAGCAAAATCGTTACCGAGAAAACGAGGGGTGCGGGCTGCACGAATCGTTCGTTCGGCGGAGAATCCCTGCGGATGAAACTGTTTTTTATGGGTGCATCGCTGGGGCTGAACGGCGGGGAATATGGCTCTAAATATGGCTCTTTCTATCACCCATCTCCTCCCATTTATGACTGCGTGACTGTAACTTTGTTGCTTGTATCCTTACGATTTATATTGATATTGATTATTTCCTGATTGCTTATTTGTACCCTATGGCTATCATTAAGTATTGTACCTTATGATTCTTGACGAATGTATCTTTATGTGCACTGAGAGCATATCCACCAAAGACAAATTCCTTGTGTATCCAATAACACTTGGCCAATAAAGAATTCTATGTCTATGTCTTCTCTGAATGCAACGGTGGTGTAAATAGAAAGCAAAAAAGAAAGGCCAAAAGATAAACTAGCTTGTTGCACTTGCGTTTTTGTCTCTTGTGTTATTCGGGCCTTGCTAACTCGATTTACCGTTTCATATAACTTTCTGCAAGCTGTGTCCTTCCAGATCAACCCTAGATTAAGCATTAACCTAAATAAAGCTTCTGCTTAGGGAACCAGTGGAAATGAGGCATTATTGTGTTCCGCTTTCCCCCCTATCATTCTCTTAACTCTTGACTTTAGTTTTCAGTCTTTTTTTAGGTTTGCATTTTCTGCCATACTGTAACAATCTTAACTAGCAATGCTTTAAAAGTGTTGAAATTTTGCCGTTTTTATTCTAGTTGTTAAATAATTTGCTTATATTGCTTATTGCTATTTAATGTTAAATGTTTTTTTTAATTATATTTAATAAATTGGAGTTCAGGAGTTCAGCCTGGAAGAAAACTGAGTTTTTAATCTCTTCATTTCACCTTTGGCATTTACTGAAACTTCGTGTTTTGCCATTCAGAATTGGAAGGGCCAAGGGCTCTGTGGTTGAACTGTGTTTAGGGCATCAACTGACCTTAATCTGGCTGTGTTCCAGAATTATAGAATTCCATTCCTGCACTTGCCCAGCTAGTCTGAGCACTGGAGTAGAAATGTGACACAATTTCCCAAAGCAGTGGAAAATTTGGACGTTCAATGCTTTGCATACATTACAGGTGCAGTAGTCCTTCACTTACGACCACAGTTGAGCCCAACATTTCCTTGCTAAGTGAGACAGTTGTTAAGTGAATTTTGCCTCTTTTTATGACATTTATTGCCATAGTTGTTACTGCAGTGAATCACTGCAGTTAACCTAGTAACATACAGGTAGCCCTTGATTTACAACAGTTAATGACCATTTGAAGTTACAACCACACTGAAAAAACTGCCTTATGACCATTTTTCACATTTATGACTTTTGCATCATCCCCATGGGTCACATGATTTACATTTGCATGCCTGACAACTGACTCACACTTATGACAGTTGCCGTGTCCCCGGGGGCATGCAATCACCTTTTGCAACCTTCTGACAAGCAAAGTCAATGGGGAAACTAGGTTCCGTTAACAACCGGGTTACTAATTTAACAACTGCAGTGATTCACTTAACAACTGTGGCAAGAAAAGTCGTAAATGGGACAAAACTCACTTTATAAATTTCTCACTCAGCAACATAATTTTTGGGTTTAATTGTAGTCGTAAGTTGAGGACCACCTGTGTTTATTAAATAAATGTAGCTTCCCCATTGACTTTGCTTGTCAGAAGTTTGCAAAAGGTGATCACATGACCCCAGCACATGGCAAACTTTATAAATACATAGATTCCCTTCTGATCTTTAATTAAGGGTTGACAGATTTCTAATTTATTTTGTTTTTTACAGGAATTCTGTAACCAACAAACGTCTACTTTCTGTCTCCCCATGTTCTAAATCAGTGTTTCTCAACCTTGGCAACTTGAAGATGTCTGGACTTCAACTCCCAGAATTCCCCAATTCCCCAATTCTGGGAGTTGAAGTCCGGACATCTTCAAGTTGCCAAGGTTGAGAAACACTGTTCTAACACTGACCAATTAGATTTGGCCTTTGATTTTCCAGTAGTTACTTTCCCTACTGAACAGATAGTTCTTGTCTTACAATTCATTTACTGACTGAAAAATGACTTATGACCATTTTTCACATTTACAACCATTGCAGCATCCTCATGGTCACATGATTAAAATTCAGAACCTTGGCAACTGAGACATATTGTTGTGGCTCGGCAGGAGCCATTGGAACTGCCGCCAGACTCCGACAGTGAGGGGGCTTATGAGTCGGCCTTGGAGGAGGTG